CGTGGTGGGGCCTCGAAACACAATCTCACGGCTGGGACCATACCCTTCTTCTCTCCATGGACAGTGTTCGCACAAGTTCTTGCTCACTTCACCGATGCATCGTCCACATCCTAGTTGCACCACGCACACATTTGGAATGTGTTCCCCCGTGTCTTGCATGCATTCGAAATCGTAGAAGACGTATTGGACATTGTCTCGTAGGGGGTGTTGTTCCTCTTCCCCCTCCTCCTTCTCCGCTTCCTCTCCCTCCCCCTCCTCCCCCTCCTCGTTTTCTTCACGGAGAGGCATCATGTAACAGCGATGATCTGGGGGCATGGGTTCTCGGCACACCAAGCAGGGATGTTCTTCGTCGAAGCACTCGTGGTGACCCATGGGGGTCTCCAAGACGCGGACCAGCTTTAAGCAGTTCGGGCACCTGTGAAGCGATTGACAGGCGCTGGGTTTTCCCTCTGACGGTGACTGGAGATGCCGGGTGTAACACGATGGATTGGGGAACCAACCTTGACAGGTCAAGCAAGGGATCCCGTGCTCTTCCTGGGGTCCGCAATAGTTAGAGTGGAGGCAGCGGTGACAGCGGTATTCCTTGGTGCAGGGATGGTTTTCGGGATGGTCGTAACGTTTGTCGCAGCGTTCGCAGTAATGGACAGAGCCATAAAAAGCGGACATGGACGTGATGACATCGTAGTGCTGATCATGATGGTAGACATGCAGCACCGTGGCGTGGGGTGGAGCCTCATCACACTTGTACAACAGTCTCTGGTCCACCTCTTGACTGTAGACTTTCAGTTGATAATTCAGGCGGGTTAAGGCCCGTCCCACGCGTGCGAGGTCGTCCAGCCCCCGACAGGGACCTTCGGGCAGGCCAAGGCGTCGAAACAAGGCCCGTGCCCGTATGCCTTGAACGTCGACGCGATCCGTTCTCGTCAGTCTCTTTCGCTGGGCGCTCCATGCTGGGGTCAGAGGGTGAGGTTTCTGGTCATAATGCTGTGCCACCACCAGGGCCCGTGTCAAACAGGATTGATCTTGGTTGTTGATCCGTACGAGGCACTTTTTGCGTGTTAAAAAAGCTTCGAGCCAAATCACGTTTTTCAGTCGGAGATGGCCACTGCCCGATCCTAGCCTGTCGGGATCTGCGACGTGTACTAAGGTCACATCCATGGTGGCATCGATGTTCAGGTCTTTGTTGGACTGTTGGACTTTTTCCACGGCTTGCAAAATATCGAGCCCATGGAGATCTTCAAAACGTCGAAAGGGAATTCGTATGGGGGTGTTCAAAGCGGGATGATCGATACCTAGACCAATACGATCTCCCTTCTGACTTGACATCTGTTCATAAAAGTCATCGATCACCCTGTCAAATAAAACTGGCAGTTCCATGGGGACGCGTTCCGGTGGTACGGTGTCCAAGTAGTCTGGGTTGAAAGTCAAACGATAGGTATGATTAGCGGTTCTTAACCGTCTGGAGCGGGTGATGTCTTTCCTCTCCAAACGATAGGGCGTACTTTGGTTGCTTGTCATGATAACGATGTGTGTCTGATGAACGTCTGTACTCTAAGAGGTGCTGAACGTCTGATGGGTGGACAACCCTTCCCCAAAACAGGATCGAAATCGGACCAATCCGAAGCCTGGATTGTCGACCAATCAGAAGACAGCAACGACCAATCAGAAGACAGCACCCGAACCGAGTTGTGCTTTCTCTCCCATGGTAAAATCCATTTCCTATGGAAAAGAAACACAAGGGTCGGGTCGTTTTGGAAAACCGAGGTGCAGACCCGGCCCCGGAACGAACCAATCGGTGCGCTGCGTTTTGGACCAACCAGGAAGCAGTGAGTTTCGATCCGGTTCTTCTCCTATAAAACAAGCGTGGATTCGAGTGGATCAGTGTCACTAGTGAAAAAGATAAAATCAAGAATGGCTGAAACAAAGAAGAGTGGTACGGCGACGACGCATGGCGAAGATGTGGTGATGGATAGTGCAGAACCTCGTGGATGTTGGAGTAAGAGTCATGCCGAGGAGGCGGTGTCACTGCTCAGTCAAACGCCATCGCACTATTATCTACGCTTTGAAAGAAGACTCGCTTCGTTTGAGGCGTGGCCCACGCAAATGTATCAGACTGCTGAAGAGATGGCCCATGCGGGCTTTGTCTACACTCAGGGTGCTGATGGTGTGTGCTGTTTCCAATGTGGGGTGCGGCTGAGACAATGGGCACCCGAAGACAATCCTTGGGTGGCACATCACAAGTGGTCCCCAGACTGCGATTACCTCAAGCTAACCGGGCTGGTGAAACACCAGAAGCAGAGGTACACGAATGACGTAGCGCGGCCGGCTGCCTAGGAGGACGTTTCCCGTGTCCTGCGTTCCCGTTCAAGTTCCTGTTCAAATGTTTTTCTTCCCCAAAACGGCCCTTTTCAGGGCCACCCATCTCACCCAAAAGACAGCTTTCCTCCTTTGCTTTGCCGTACAACGACCATCCAAAACAAAGAACCCACACCCTCCCCTAGACCTCTTGGAGGTACACGTCTAACAATACAATACATAGATATAAATAGATATAAATAGATCAATAGATCAATAGAGACACGTAGTACACCACGTCAAACATCACGTGTGCATGAAAACACCTGTCACAGTACGCCTGTCGACCTACACGAGTGTCAACACCTCGGTATCCTTCAATAATAATAATAATAATAATCATTTGAAAACACATACACGCACAGGGCACAACGTTTGCATGTCAACACACAAAGTACATACATGACGTTCACATCGCGACACGAAGTCCATGACGTGTGCAAACGTCACGCAGGTGTATTGATCTAAACTTCTAGTAACGTCTGTTTGTAGTCACGCGTGGCACAACGTTTTGCCTGACCACACGCTATTCTGTTTGAAGACATACACACACACACACACACACACACACACACACACACACACACACACACACACACACACACACACACACACACTCACACACATGACATTCCGATTGGCATGGGAGTGACACAACGTACATCACGTAGGCATTCCCGCGTTCATGTCTACCTATGAAGGTCTACCTTTCCTTTAGCATTCAGACGACCGCCTACCTCAAAAAATACCAAGGCTACCCAAGAAGAAAAAAACCGGATCGAAATCGGACCAATCGGAAGCCTGGGTTATCGACCAATCAGAAGCCGCGCTCGGACCAAGCGGAGCTCTGATTGGCCGAACCGGGGTTGTGCTTTCTCTCCCATGGTAAAATCCATTTCCTATGGAAAAGAAACACAGGGGTCGGTCCGTTTTGGAAAACCGAGGCGCTGACCGGACCCCCGGAACGAACCAATCGGAGCTGCGGCCTGGCGAACCAACCGGGAGGCAGGGTGTCAGTGCCTCTCCTATAAAACAAGAGTGGATTCGAGTGGGTCAGTGTCACTTGTAAAAGAAAGCATCATGATGAGTAGTAGCAACAACAACAACACCGGCAACAACATCAAAGAAAACTGGGATCTAGAGATCACCACAGTGGCACAACCTTTGCCCGGGTGGAAAGAAACATCACCACCACCACCACCACCACCATGGTCTCCAGCGTGGCAATGTGCCAGGTGCCATGGGGGCCTGCCCGTCTATGCCCTTGGTACAAGGGTACGGGATGGGACTTTCGAGTGCGTGTACTGCGGCACTGTGCTGAAGGACACCTACGTGCGTCGGTTAACGCACACCAGTAGGTGTCCTGTCAGACGCGACATGAAAGCTCATCCGTGCCTTTGTACCATGGGATGCACATGCATGTAAACATCAAAACGGCCCTTTTCAGGGCCACCCATCTCTCCCGAAAGACAGCTTTTCCTCCTTTGCTTTGACGACCCTCCAACCCCCACCACACCGTGAACGCCTCCTCCTTCTCCCCTCCCCTCCCCCTCCCTCCCTCCCCCTCCCTCCCTCCCTCCCACCCTTCACCACCACCACCCCACGTCTATGTGTAGAACAACAACTACCACAACCACAAAAGATTTTTGACGCGCTTCTTTCAATGTCGATCCTTTTCACCTTTTACGGGCGCTTCTCCGGGTTCCCCCCCCCCCCCCCCCATCCCCGGACACGGAAGCGACGCCATCTTGCATGCGCATGCCACCGGACACGGTTGCGACGCCATCTTGCAGGCGCGCGCCACCGGAAGCGGATGTGACGCCATCTTGCATGCGCGCGCAGGTATCCCATCATGCACTGCGCAGGTCACGTGACCGGAAACGGATGTGCCGCCATCTTGGTCCCAGAAATCTGAGTGGTCCCAGAAATCTGAGGGGTCCTAGGCCGATGCTATCAACTACTAACCCTTCTTTTCACAAACTGTAAAGTTTTGTTTTGTTTATGATTGTTGTTCTTGAAGTCAAATCCATGGCGGATTGGATTTTAAAATATCTAACTGAAATTGATATGCGTAATACTTGAATATAATATTAAAAAAAGAAATTGTAAGTGTGTATTTATAAATTCTATGCTTTCTTTAGTTCCTTTATGTTTTTAGATGTGTTTACCTTGCACAATGTCGTCTATATATGGTTTATGTTTCATTGTTACAACGTTTAGCCGTTACACTATCGCACACGCTTGTAACCTAGATTTGTTCATAGCATGAACGTGCAAATGCAATTTCTACGTAGTGAAACAATCGTAACTTTCTTGCCGTCTGATGAATGAACCTTGGGTCGATTTCTAAGAGACTGGGGTTCACAAACCCCTCAGATACAGAATTTGACGTTACCTCAAGGCATCGCCCTCAGTAGTTTGATATGAAGATCATGTATGTCAAAACATGATATGGATGCTCTGTAGCCAAACCTGGAACGTTTCAACAGTAAATCAGTAAGGAACGGTGAATAAGTTAAAATAGTTAGGTTAGAAAATCGTGTATGTTATATATAGCTGCTTCACAAACCTCGTGTCAAAATCAATGATCGTATTTAACCTACAATTTAGCGATTTCGTCTCTAAAGTTTCCTTGTATGTTTTAGGTGTGGATGGACAGCTTTCCTGTGGTAAGTGTGAAGTTATTGTATATTTATCACTTGACAAAAGCCTTTGCACATCAAAGAAACATGTTTGTCATAACAGAATAACATAAGTATGCTATTTAAAATGGCTTTTTCGCCAGGTGAAGCGAGCAGGTGTTTTACAAACTGGAAACACATAAGTGTTCTAAAAACCAACAGGGCAAATTATGAACCAAACAGTCTCAGAGGGTTTTAGATCATCACTGAGAGATTCCTAAAAGGAACGAATGGTGTGGGTGGGATTGGGTATGACCGTCAACGCAACCGCGTCCGTTGTCGCAACCATGCAGTGATTGGACAACACAGGGGTATCATATCAAGTATATCTTTTCTTTTCCTCTTCGGGACGCAAAAAATATGACGTCACATATCGGCTGTAGAAGAACCCTGCCAGATATGAACTCTATGTTGTGCCTTAAACTTGAATCAGTTGATTTCCATGTGCCTACAATGTACTGTCACACATACTTAAAATGTTGTAGCTACGCCTTCTCTGCATTTTGTTACCTATAATTGTACATGTCATAGTTTCAAAATGCTTGCCGACAATGACTGTGAGAGAAGTATTTTTCATTGAATGTAACATTGCGTTTGAATATATCTCATCAATATATCAAAGGGAAACATTTCAGTTTGTGCAGTTGTAATACTTCCTGATGACATGTTTTCAGGAAAGGAGAGTGACCCTGATGGGAAGTATGATATTTTTGTGGGGTAACATATCGAAATATCTAGATCAGGGGGGATATTGAAATTGAAAATTTATCTAAAGACATACTAACCTACCGAGAAGAGCACATCCGGCTAGACACACATTAGAAAAACACCCATTTGAAAAACACCCAATCCTGATGAATACTGTATGTAAGCAAGCGCATGTCATTAGAAAAGCTTACAGATTTTGCGAGAAGTTGGCCGTCCGTCCGCACTTTGTTTTTGACTGTTTGACTGATTATAATCAATCTCGAATATCTACCGAAACAGATTCCATAGGGCGTAATTGTGTGAATGGGTGACTGAATTGTTTTTTGACACTGCTCTACCTGAAGCGCCGCCAATCACACGAATTTCGTTAAAATTCAATGTGACAGTCATAGATTTGAATAGCATTACGCATAGTCTGGGTTTAACGTTGCGTCCAAGATTTTTGAATTTATATAGCGACGTACATGCGTGCGTGCGTGTGTGGCTGCTTGTACTGGTCAAGACTGATGCCGATTTATAGTGCTAGCTAACTTAGATACCATGCCGCAGTATTACCCCTTAATGCCGAGCGCCAGACAGGGTAACAACAAGTACCATATTTTAACATTGTTTGGTATGACGCGACCGGGGACCGAACCCCGGACCTTCCGCTCTTAAGTCGAATGCTCTACCACTAGATCACATATTCTGTCTCATACGATTTGAATACTCATTGGACTGTCCTCATTTGTCTTTTATGATAACAGTTTTAGGTCACGGTAACCCACTTTCAATGAGAAGCTTAGAGATAATTTCGTCGTTACATTACCACAGCTCATCATGTTTTCGTTTTGGGGACTATTCTTGGAAAACAACTTCGATTGACAGCAATTCACTCTCAAGGTCTTCCACTATTATGTCCATGATAACTCAATAAGTGTTTACTTTAGTTTGATGCAATTTAGTACATATGTACTATACTGAGGGTGGGGCATTGAAACATGTTGTGTGGCCTATTGGCATGTTTTCCCAAACCAGAAGTGTTTATAAATAATAGTTAGAGGCTCGGGGTCAATTCATAACATCCTGATTCCAACTTCCTTGGAAGTATGACTGCCACTGACAATGCATACACAAATACTCGCTGCAGTGACAGGTGATCATTTATGTACTTAATGTTAACAAGACACTGACAGTTCCATATTCATACTGTTTAAAACAAACAGATAACGGATCAAATATCTATTATATATTGATTACAGTCTGTTTAAAACCATGTGTTCCTCACATGTACGTGATGAAATTTGTTCATGAAAAACATGTACCTAATTGTAGTAACACTGTAGTATTTCGTATACTTTCTAATGCGCAATAAAAACTATACCTATATATTTTGAAACTGTTCTCAATAGTTGCCTGCTTTATCGTGCATGTGTAGAACTATCTGGAAAGTAATATCTATTTTTTTTGAATTCCTAACAGTCAAGCCGAACCTGAAATAGCTTCAGAACTTTATTTTCATTTTGTATATGAGGATGAACAGCCTTCTGCCTCTGGTACGTATGATAGTGTAACGTACAAGGATGGCCTTGTTTTGACGATATGATATCATTTAGGGTTTGGGTCGGAACAGAAGTGTTAAAAGATTTTGGCGACCAGGTAATGTAGCTCAAATATATCTTTATCTAAAATACAAATAACAAAGATAATTACTTCTCATTATTTCAATAGCCCGTATATACTTAAATCCAGTGATCATAATGAGATATTAACTTGTCTATGCTTACCCAATGTGTTGGAAATTTCGACGGCGCACCTGAAGGAAACACATGGGTTCCCCCTCTTCCTAAACCTCGCGAGGTGACGTCATCTTAAAATTAATAGTCGTACTAAGTTGTGCCAATTCAAAAAAAAGATACTCCCTGGCTGGATCGCTGTTATGTATCTCCTTTGTTGTCAAACAACACCCAACCCTCCTGTCCTGAACACTAGCACGGTGGTGATCTCTGACCTCTTTAGCTGAGACGCTGCGGCGAATGTGAACTATTACAGGACTTTAAGTGTAACGGCTTCTCCGTTCCTATCCGTTCATAGTGTTAGGTAGTTATAGAAAAACCCACGAGGTACGAGTATATGTCACGAATGAAATTAATGTTTTAAGCGAGGAACTTATAAGCAGTGCATATAAATGCCAATACAAGAAAATAACCAGTCTAGATCGTCCGCCGAAAGAGATTAAACTTTGGCATTGAGGGTAAAATAGTGTGTGAACATTATATGAATGAACCACAGAAAATCGTCCATCGTCCAATCGAAAATCTGCAATCATAACATAAAATAACAATAATCAGTTTTGGCTTCGACCTAAATATGCCTTGAGCCTGTCAATGTGGAATTTTGGTTTCAAGTATCCCCTCTTTTGATAATGTAATTTATATTGATACTGGGTAAATACAATTTACCCAACCCTTGTCCTATGAGCTGCAAAGGGTGTATCTATCCCTTTGTTTGAGTTAAAGTGACAAACAAGATTCTCTGCTGTGAATGTTCTGGTTATGGGTATCAACATCACATCTGGTCTTCTTCTTACTGCTCTATTTTTTAGCATCTTACAAGATAGCGTATATCCAATTTCAAACTACTTAAAAGTACAGGTGGTTTTCTTGGAGTTTTGGACACCTGTAATGGGGTGTAAGAGCCTAATGGGCCTCCCCAATGATCGGTTTAAACAATAACTGGTCGCCATTGATAATTTCAAAATGTTTCATAATATTGATAACTGACAAACGTCTATAATAAAGTGATTAAAGTCTGTTTCAAACCATGTGATCTTAACGTGATTCTGAATTATAAATGTGTTCATTAAAAGAATGTACCTAATTGTAGTAACACTGTAGTATTTTATACTTTCGAATGCACAATAAAAACTATTGATATCTACTGAAGGTTTTCTGAAGGTTTGCGTGCTCAATTGTGCAAATAAAGAAAATATGGTAAGTACGTGTAATTATTGTCAAATGCCCTACTGGAAATAACTTCAAACCCATATTATTTATTTTTGTAGACGCGGATGAACAGCCTCACGCCTCTGGTACGTATGAGTTTATGCAATATTAAATCTATAATAATATTACGATACGATAAATATACAAAAGAAGTCACCTCGCAGGAATTACTTTTAGTCAGCTTTGTTCATCGATGTGGTATTTACTTTATCAAAAACTGAGGCTTTTTTCCTTCTCGCTTCCTCTAGTTACTATAGTGAATATAAATATGCCTTATGACAAAATATGACGTTAAAATATTAAAATTCCGTTTATTAATCAGGCGGTGCTTGAGGACACAGGGGTATCATATCAAGTATGCCTCTTTCGGAATGACCTTGATCAGCCATGTCAGCGGTCAACGGCATTCTCAATGATATAGCCTGAAATACAGTTTGTTTTTTTATCAATAAAATCATGAAACACAATTTTGAAAGGCAATGATATAAAGAGAAAACATTACCGTTATTTTTGTGTGGAACCTGACAGATCCTTCAACAGATGCAACCATCGGTATTGCCGTCCCTAGTTGCATTGTTGGGATTGGTGTTGTGGTTATTGTAATCAAGAGGAAGCGCAACTCCCGTACTGAACAAGGGTCCGCTGGTCCAGATGGTAACTCTTCGGGTATGTTAATGTCCAAATAGTGTGAAAGTATTATTCATTTGATAACATGACAAAACAGGCCAAACATAGGTGTTATCTGATTTCCAACCATTATATAAGTTTGGTTTCATTTTTACCTCTCTTTATGGCGTACCATTTGACTACCTTCCGTAGTCTTGCTGAATAGAGGTCTGAAGTATTTACAGAATATTGAAAATAATAATAACACGACAAAACCCTTTCCATATTCGTAAGAAATATCTGCTAAAAGCAGCGTTGCACTTCGATTGTCAGAACGATGACACGTAAAAATTTGAAAGGCGTAAACACTTGCGAAAAACATGATGCTAATACATATAAATGCCAATAATAATTTCTGATGGTCAAAAGAACCAGTTTGTTTCAGTTTTATAACTTACAGAGTGTAAAACCATGCATTTTTGCACTGCAATATTTACAGAGGAGACAATTCCCGAATCACATAAACTCGCGGGACATGAGGATCAAACAAGTGACCCAGGTAGGTAATCGTTTCCCTCAGAAGGTCAGTTTTACAACTACATTGTATAAAATCATACATTATTTGTTCTGTAATATTTAGAGAGGTCCGGATTCACATGAACCAATAAATCAAGTGGATAAAACACATCAACCAGGTAGGTATTCGTTTCTCCAGAAGGTCTTTGGAGTAGGTATTTTGTAAGCACTTTTGCTCAAAACTAGATATGTTCTGAGAGTGGAGCTGAAGGTCACATTTAATGAAATAATCATGACAATTTATACCTGTGACAGTGCTATCTTAGTTAGTAATGGAAACTTCCCCGAACTGGATGTACCTGATCTCTCTGCCGGGTAGTGTTGATATGATTATAATTTGACTGACATCAACACAAGATGAAGGTCATATGTGGTCACATTGCAAAACATTACATAAACCTTTTGAATACTAGTACTCAGTGTCATTCTTACAAAAGAAAATCAAATTAAATGCAACCCTAATGTGTGTGTGTGTGTGTGTGTGTGTGTGTGTGTGTGTGTGTGTGTGTTTCTGTATACGTTTCTAAAATGTACCATTTCTTTATATATGTGTATAAGAGATGGCCAGAGAAGCTGGTAGCTGAATTGTCATTATTGCAAGTAAAATCCCCTTAAATCATACCATTGCACATAATCGTTGACAAATGCAACTTTTTATTTGAAGAAGTCATCATCACCATGATATCCTACCCTTTAAGAAAGTTTTTCAAACTTTTGCTTTTTGTTTTTTCATTGCAAGGATTTATTACCGATAGTAACCTTAAAAGATTATCAAAGTTTAACGGCCATCCTAATGGGGAAGTCACATTGAAAACCACTTAATCCATTTTTAAAGGTTACTATAACCATCTCGGATAAGTGTCAACTGAAGAAGTAGTACATATCCTTTGTCTGGTGTACTTGTGTCATGTTAAGATACATGCAGTTAAAAGCATATACTTCTTCAGGTGTATGTAAGGTCATCAAATACAAGTTTTATTGCTTTATACCATTTCCAAGGTAACTAATAAAACCAGGTATATATATGTCGTTGCTTCTTAAGATTTACCATAATATCATGCAACACATGTGAGTTGATGTTTTCGTAACACTTCGGTATTATTTTCGTTCAAAGTTGTGGTTGAATGAGGTATTTGATCCGAGCATTGCTTGCTCAGTCGTCTAAGGCGCCGCAATTCGACGTGCAGAGTTGTGTCCATTTGGCCTGTCAGAATCCCGGTTGGCCCCGATTTATGTTTCTAGGTTTTTCAGCACCATGCCCGTGCTCCTGGGTAAACGACTGAGACCCAAAGCACTTCGGGCTTTCCTCTTCCATGAAGTTGACACTCCATGATATAACTGGAATACTTTTTACGACATTAAACTCAATACACTCACTCGTCTGTGATACGTCAGTAGGGAGAAAATGGACATTAGGACAGTAAGAATTCAGCTGTTACCATATTCTTGGAAAAAGCATGTCTGAACAGGGGTCTATGAAAAAAAGCTTTCTAACTTATAAATGTCTTTGAAGTTACAGATAATGACACAAATAGGCCTTTCAATGGTAGTAACTGTCATTTCCTATTTTCTTGTCCCGCCTCGTTGTGATTCTATGTTGGTTCGTCGTCTTGACAATGGAACTACATTAAATATGATATATTAATCTTCCCATTTCTTGCAGGCAAACAAACGTGCGAACGGATGAACCTCACTCAGACATGTTAGATCACGTTGGTTCTGCAGTAAAAACCGCTGTGAGGCGTTCGGCAACAGGCACTTTTTGATGCACATGTTGTGAGTTGCGTGTGCGACCGGAGGAGCAAAACATGCTTACCCTTTTTGCAAATAACTTGATGTCATCACCGATTTTCAGTGATTCCCTCAAATCAGTTTCACCACTATTATACCTGTTAAGTCCAATTGAATCCGTTTTGCAGATCATTGAGGCTGATTATTCTCTGGCATTGACATTCTTTATTCATCATGTCACATAATATCATTTATAAACTATATCCATAAGAGTTGGTTATCTGTTTGAGAGGCCGGTAAACATTTTCTATATCCATACCACTGTTTCTTTGTAACAATATAACATGTTATGTAAACATTGAATAATTTTAAAGTCGACAAAACCCATTTCATAATTAAAAAAAATCCACATCGTTGAATTTTGACATCCCAAGCATGTGTCTTTGAATCACTATCAAATGGTGATGATGCCAGATAACTTCTTTGATAGGCATTTAGAAGTTGGAGTACTAAGTTAGGATAAGAATTTATGGATGAACAAAAAAGTTGTTCATCCATAAATTCTTATCCTTACTTATGATGCCAGATGTTTGCGAAAAGTTGAGCGTATCGTGCCCCATTAGTGGCATCTGTCACAAATGCATACAAAGGCAAGGTAACTATTAACGATATAGGGACTTATGGTACAAGTCAAAATAAGGAATTGCTTCAGATATAATCTTTTTCGGTAATGCATTAATTTGGGATTATTGTCCTCACATGGAATGGTGTTTGAAACTAAGAATCGCTTTACTGACATAATTTGCGGAACCTCTATTGCTAGGACCCATATAATTTTTCATTTTTCACATGATTGAGTTAAAGCCAAGAAAATCAAATATCTACTCTTTTCCGAAAGTTAGTTGCTTTTGTACCCTTCAGCAAAATGCTGTGAAGGGATATATTGAATGAAGCCAAAGGTTACTTGGCATTCCAGAAGTTGGTGAATAGATAAGAAAACGTACAACTTTATTGATAAATTCTTTTTTATTGCATGTAGATACGTTACGATGTAGTTACTTACACCGTCATCAAGCTGGAATGACTACAAACAAACTACAGAAACATGCTTTTTGGAGGAAGAGCTACTGCTATTCTCGTAATCCCTCGTCTAACACGCAAAGTTATCTTTGTCGTTACCCATAAAGTTGAACGTTTTCTTATTTTCTTAGTAAAGTCAACAAGCACTTCACTAGAAAGGATGTGTATCTACACAAATGTTTCATATTTTGAAATAGAACACTGCAAACACGAAAACGTCGTTTTTTTCCGTATATGGTCATTGGACGGAAAAACGACTAAAAATTCATTAAAATTGATTAATTGGTCAGCGTCTAGAAAGTGTCCAGAAAAGGGTCGAGTTTTTCAAGCGTAAAATGGACGGAAAAACGATGCTTTTTGCTCCGCCTTGTACAACTGTTAACGGCCAATCAGATGGCGCTGGTCCCCCGACGCACGTGATGTCCAAGGCTTCCTTTCGGACGCTTTAGGTTTCGTATTTCTGGCATGCCTTGCTCTAGTATCCGTCGCGCGCAGTGCAGCGAGATTTGCTGATAAGCTAGTTTTAGGATATGTTACATGTTAATGGAATTCAGACACGCGCCAAGAAGTCAAACCAAACAATGTTACCAAGTTTATTGTGGTAACGGCTATGTACAGTTACCCCTATCGGATAATGGGTTGTGTTTCTTTTGGTAATAACAATAACTAATTTTTTAAAGTGAAGTTTACAAGATATACGACTTGGACGCGAGGTCGGTCACATGACGTTCTTCACGTGACTGTATTCTTGAAAAGGCGTAAACACTGACTACTTCCACATTCCTGGGGAAAACCCTTGGAATTCCCTGGTACGAATTCATACCGAAGCGTGGTTGCAAGCCCATTTAAGGATACCCTCGCTACAAACCATCCCAGAGAGAAAAAACACGAAAAAAAATCCAAACTGTCGCAGTGACAATTTACAGAAATCTATGAATTTACCTTAGTATCTATTTGACACATCTTCACAATCACCTTTCAATGATCGGCCAATTGATCAGTGATGTCAAAGGCTTGAAATAGCCACAGGTTAATTAACAACTTCGGAAATATCTCCCGTCACGTTTATCGTGTCGGCCATTTTGACGTCTTGTACTTGATGTAAATGTATTACGACGCTCTGGCATTGTAATTGACTTACTGAGGTAATTCTGTAAAAGATCTTCTCATCTAATGAGGATATTGTTTGGAATATATTTCTTGTAAACATACTAAAACATATGTTCCTCGCTTTGGGGGGAACTATTATATTCCGGGGTGGCCCATTAAATCTAGTAGTAAGTCAAGGCACCATGCGTGATCTGTTATTTTATGTGTTTAAATTACGATTTGGGGCGTTGATAAAATACACTGACGCAAGTATATTCTATTCAAATCAATTGGACAATTGAATATGCTTTCTTTTACATATTACATAACATCACTCCACAAAATATGAACAGTTGCAGTAACACAATACGGTAATCGCATTAAACATCATTTTCAACTGTACAGTATTTCAGTATTTCAGTTATATCATGGTGTATCAGACTGATGTGGGATAAAAATCCGAAGTGGTTCAGGTCATCCAATGGGTGTTCGGGAAAAGGTGAGCGTATCCTGCCACACAAGTGGCACCCGTCACATACACATGCAAGGACAAGTCAATTGTTCACCTGAACAAAGCACGGAAACACACAATGATGCCCGTCCTCAGTTTTACCGAGCATGTAAATTATTTTGTCCGTCAAAAACATGGACGAGTATAAACAATATGTTCATTCACGTAATACATGTCATACCTTTGACAAAATGTATTGACTCGGAGCATTATTGTGAATCACAGAGTATGCAGTTGAACTCATCACCCATCCCATATTGATAACCCTTCTTGAAGATCTATGAAATCAGAAGCTGCAACACTCTATCTTTTAACTGGCATGTCAGACTTCTATTTCATTACTCAGTTTTATTTGCACGGATTACTATGGAAGGGACATTGTCTCGCTGTCGCATTGACGCCTTTACAAAAACAAGCAAAACGTGTCAAAATTAACAAAAGCGCGACAATTGGCCATTTGTCGCATTGTCGCGTGTTCGCATTGTCGCTCTTTGATAATCCTTTTCTTTATTTTACAAAAGGGCGACGATGCCGTAACGCGACATTTTCAAGGTCAAAATATGTCTCGTTGTCGCATTGTCGCCCCATCACAAATGTGTATAAAAGGCGTAAAGTTCAGTTATTGTTACAGTTAGGAAGTTCAACCTGATAAATGTACGTCTTGAAATGAAAACACAAGTCCGTCCGCAAGTCCTTAACGTTTTATTGTGAGCTCTTCTCTAAAAGTGCTTAGTGTTCAACTCCCAGTTCCAAACACGTAGTACCTCCTCAATAATCCACATACCTCCAGTGCAGTGGTCTTCCGGAAGATCTTACTCTTGACCGTATTAGACAACTGACGAGTGCACGCCTGACCTGTGACCTCGTTGCAACCCTAGTGATGTGTTTGCCGAAGGGAGAGGGGTAGGAAATGTGTGCTCCAGCCCAGCGCAGAGCTCGCGACACACTGTATACTGATGTATACAGTATATTGCAGTTGATATACTGTATACTGCATGTGATACTTATTTGCGGAAATGTTACAACTTTCAAGATTCAAGATTCAATTTGCATATATTTCATATACAACAGACCGCCGTCATATATCACTGGAATACTGCTGAGAGCAGCGTTAAAACAAATTGTTTTCATAATGGAGCGCTGCAGTCATTTAAAATAGAACCGTATACATATGTACATGTAGTACCAACTCACTCTATTTGTTTCGAATATTCAGCAGAAAATATATTATTAACCAGGTCTTTGGGAAAAGATATCAGATTTTTATAAGCAGCCACATAGGGATGATAAAGGACCCCTCGCTGATTAGGTTCTTGTTTACTTAAGAGCAGAGTTGGCCATGTTACATGATATAACCAAAATCCGGGAGCTCCGGCGGGGGGCAAGCTGGTCTTGTTAGTGTATGGTATGAGCTGTGACGTTGACCCAAGAGAATAATGTAAAACATGAGACCAACTCAGGTCTATAATGATTGGGAAAGTCTAGATTTCCACAGCTCTAGCCTGAAATTAAGAATTGTTCTATGCTCCATTTTAATTGTATTATTTTCATTTTGTAGACATGGATGGACCAACCAGGAAAGAAATTGATGGAATATTAATATCACATGTAACCACTGATCCAGTTAAATTCATCACACAATAATAAATTAGTATTTGACATTACGGCACTTGATTAATAGGGCATGATCATGTACATGTTCACTGTAGTAATGTACACACCAGTCAACTTGATTATAATTTTTATCAAAGTGTAGCGCGGCATCAACGATGACTTTATGATATCCTCACTTGTCATCGATGTATTGACATCGAATAATGGACGGCAATTCGAAATTCTTATGGATAGCTTCAATAGGGACAGCGCCGGTGTCAGTACAATTTTCCTAGTTAAAATAAGTATCTACAAAATATAATCTGAAGCAGACAAGAACAATATTTTTTTATTAATGCTTACTTTCATGGATAGAATTAAGGCAATCTAGGCTAGCCAAATCGTTCTAGACTTGAGCTGGATTCCTTTTAAGTTTATTCTGTATGGTCTGGGAGACGAACGGGCGTCAGTATTGCATGGAGAACTGGGACAGCCTTAATCAGTGTAATCGGATATGTTGTGGAGTTTCGGTTTTGGGCTGTTTGCTGAATATATAGAATTGCAAGTTATGTATACTCTGTATTCTTTCGTCATGGTAGCATATATATTTTCTATGTTGCTTTTTGAATTATCCACAAATAATGAGAACTACAATGTAAACCTCTCTCTGGAGATATGCAATAATACTACTGAAGGGCATATCTGAAAAATGGGACTTCTCGACAAATATTTCTTTCTTAAATACTACCCGTTACAGGCATTCTTATCATTATATCATACTTTGTACAGTTTAAAAGTCAAATAATTGCAAATTGTGTATCTTTCTACATTTTGAATTAATTATATTTTCTGAAATAAAACCTTAGCATCAGATAGTGATATACACGAATATGATCTGTACTATTATAAATGAATTATCAATTTCGTATTATGAATTAGATCAAAAGAAATATGATAGTAAAACAAATTATTTTAATCTATTCTTGTGAATAGGTAACGAGAGATCTAGGCAACGCACTAACGTAGCCATTTATGAAAAATGAAATATTATAAGTTTAGGGGTTTGAACATGCACATTGAATGACAGGGAAGAAAGCAACGCAATAATTAAATTATGAATCAAATTATGTTATAAATATAACAGAGTATTTAGAAAATATAAGTTTAATTTCTCATTGTTGGAAGGTGTTTAATAATTATATAGATTGTGTTTGATTGTTTGTTGTTTAACGCCGCACTCAGCAATATACCAGCTATATGACGGTGGTTCGTAAATAATCCAGTCTGGACCAAACAATTTAGTCATTATCATCAAGAGCACCGATCTACGCATTTGGGATACGATGACATGCATCAACCAAGTCAGCGAGCCAAGTCGCCTTCGTACAAGCATGGGTTGTTGAATGCCTATTCTAACCCGGATCTTCACGTGTATTTTTTTAAATAATAAGGTACAATGAAATTTTGTTTATGTCCATAATAAGTGTGTATAAGTAGATGGATAATATGTCCATACACGCCAAGTAAATGGTATATGCATTAATTTAAATGCAAATGATTCAATGATGAGTTCTTTCACAAGTCCATATTTCAAGGCATGTATTTGATATTCATAATAACTCCACAAAAGCTAAACAATGACAACAAAACGGTACCAGCATCACAGATACCAATAATACATGAGATACATATAATTACTTTAAAGTTAAAACATGTATCCAAATAGAAAATTAGAAGGATACACTTCCGACATTTTTCGTATTTTGTTTTCGTTTGGAGAGAGAAGTTGTGATTGGTATCTAATGGGTGCAAACAGGTGTTCCCTTTCGTCCAGGCCTTGCGGCAATGCTATAGCCCAAAATGAGACAAGCCTTGTTCAACAGGTTCAGACTCAAATTTCTATCCCACTTGGGCTCCTTTTAAATTTAAATATAATTTCTCGTGTCGATATGTGTCAGAAGAAATGAAATATTACAGCACTGGTGAATAGGTTGTATGCG